AGATCCCGCCTCCTAACAGCAAGTCAGCTATAAACCCATCAGTAGACTAATTCACTGGTGATTATCACTCACCTGCCATGATGCAGTCACCTCCCCAAAGCCCCACCTATGAACACAGGGGCTTTGGAGGGACATCTAATTATAAGCCATAATATAACCCTAAGTCCCCGGCCCCAAAATACTCACATGTATCCTTTTATACAAAATGTGTTTAGGTTTTTGGTTTTTTTGGCACTGGGGATTGAACTTGAGACCTTGCACTTGCGAGGCAGGTGGTGGTCTATTTTTAAGAGTTGCCAAAGTCATAACACTTTGAAAAGTCCATGTCCAAAGTTTCCTTTGAGATTTCAGGCAGCAAGAAGGCCCTCATCACAGGTCAGGACCTTGATATTGGACTTCCCAGTCTTCAAAGCTGTGAGAAATAAATTCCTTTAAATTTTTTTTGTACTGAGGATTGAACTCAGGACCTTGTGCTTGTGAGGCAGGTAGTGGCACCACTGAGCTAAATCTCCAGCCCCAGAAATAAATTTCTTTCCATGTATGTTACCCAGTCTGTGGTATCTGATGGACTAAGACAACAGGTTTAATAGCTCAGTTCTCCAAAAACCTGCCCTCATTTGAGATGTCAGTACCAAGCCTTAAGGGCTACCTGGATTTCTGACAAACCAGCTATAACTTTATGGGTTTTCATGACCTCCTTAAGTTTCACAATTTGCTAGAATGACTCACAGAACTCACTAGACGTACAACCTATACTTAGGATTTTAGCTTTGTTATAAGGGCTAAGACTCAGCAATAGCTAAATGGAGAAGACATACGGCAAGGTCTCGGATGGTCCCAGTTGTGATGGGGCCTCGCCTGGAACATCAATATATTCACCAAGCAGGAAAAGTAGCCAAGCCTCAGCCTGCAAAGTTTTGGCTGTGGTCTCATTTTGTAGTCATGATTGAGCTCAGTGATATAGTTATGGTTTAACCTCCTTCCTCCCCAAAGGTCATTCCGATAAAAAGTTTTAATCCTCTGACTGCGTGGTTGGCATTTCTGGTGACCAGCAGTCATTCTGAATTTTTCCGGGGGTCAACCACGAGTCATTTCAGTAGCATAAAAAGGGATGCCACTTCACCCAAAGAATTCCAAAAATATTTGATGATCTGTGACAGGAACCTAGGGCAAAGACCAGATGTATTCTTTGTTATGTTACCATTGTATTTAACATAAATTGTATTATTTAAAAAAATTTTTTTTTGGTACCAGGGATCGAACTCAGATCCTTGCGCTTGTGAGGCAGGCAGCAGAGCCACTGAGCTAAATCCCTGGCCTGTAACATAAATTATATTAGATTTCCAATTGTTAAACCAACTATACATTCCATACATGTGTGTCATACATATGCATGAGATTTAATTTGTTAAAATTCTTTAAGTGTTTTGCTCAGATTTTTTGGCATCTACATTTATGTAATTTTTGGTTTGTAGTTTCCTTGTAGTATCATTACCTTGTTTTATTCTAAGATTAGCAGCGACTTCACAAAATAAGTGGGGAAATGTACTACTTTTATTTTATATCCTGTAAGAATAGAGTATAAATTATTTCTTCATTTAACTATTTGGTAGAGTCATTAGTGAAGCCACCTTGATCTGAAGATTTTGGTGGGGAGACTTCTTACCTTTAAATACAAATTAGTATTATTAGTACTTTAGCAGAGAGAATTTTTGAGATTATTCTTTTTTCTGGTATGGGGAATGGAACTTGAGATCTTGCACTTGGGAGGCAGGTGGCAGAACTACTGAGCTAAACCCGCAGCCCTATTTTTCTTGAATGAGTCTGATCAGTAGGTATTTTTAATGAAAATTCCGTCTAAATTTCAATTTATTGAGAAAAAGTTGTTTAATCCTAATTATCTATTATATGCTTGAAGGATATACTAATACTGTATCATCTTTTCTTGCTCACTGATAGATTTCCCTCCAATTTAGGGTGGCTGCTGTATATAATAGCTAATAGCTACCTTCTTTCTAACATGCCCCTACTCCCACCAAAAGAATAACCTAATACTTGCTCTCCTCCTAGCAACTAGTGACATCACAGGCTCCTCCAGTCCCTAGCTACTACCTCACTTAACCCCACCCCAGCTCCTATAATAAGCACTCCCTGCCCCGGCCATATTGCTTTGTCTCTCCTTTGTTCAGAGACAGCCCGGCAGGTTGTTCGTACAATTAAGGCTTGTTGTGGCCTGGTCTGGTCTTGGTTTTTGGCTTCTTTACCTGACACTCACATTTATAATATGTGGGTTTTTTTTTTTACCTGATTGGGCTGGAAGTGTATTGATTTTGCTGACTTATGCAAGGTATTTACTTTGGAGGGTCATAGATTTTCAAGAAAAACTAAATAAAATGACAAAGTATACTGGATATACTGCACATTAGGCAAAACAGGGATTGATAAAAGAGGGCAAACAAATGATGTGAGATAAATGAATGTACCATGTTACTGTGAAAGTAAATTCTTAGGCCCTAGAGCTGGAGAGCCCAGCAAGAGCCCAAAAGTTATGTTATGGAGGCAAAGCTTCACATCTGGGTTAGTTGGGGTCTACACAGAAATGGAATGGAGAAAACTTCAGAGATGTACACAAGGCCATCCTCAAGAATTCAGCAGAGTAGTTAGGCACGGTGGTGCATGCCTGTAATCCCAGCACTCAGGAGGCTTAGGCAGGAGGATCGCCATAAGTTCGAGGTCAGCCTGGACTACATAGTGAATTCAAGGCCAGCCTTAGCTACACAGTGAGACACTGTCTTTAAAAATAAAAAAAACTTCAGCAGAGTACTAATCAGTATATGCATACACTGAACCAACAGAGGACAAGTAAAGGAAATCTACTAAAGGTTTAGATTTAACAATTTCCAAGGCATATTCAGAGACCAGAAGAGTTCTTGGTCCAGTCAGCTTGAACAAAAAACCTCATAATTTAGAAACTATCAAGGAGAGAATGTAGAATGATTACACCATAATGGTGGATAGGGAATCAGCTTTAAAATAAATGCTGCGAGAATTCCACCTAAAAATGCTTAGAATTGAGCCCCCCCTCAAAGATCATATTGTTTCCTAGTAACTTAACAATGTAGCAGAAAAAAAAATTATAGAAATACAAAAATTTTTCCATTCTCCAAAAAAGCAAAATTAAAGGTTCAATCAAAATGAATGCAAGTAGTAGTATTAGACAAGGTAGATTTTTTGTTTGTGTTTTGGTACTGGGGATTGAACTCAGGACCTTGTGCTTGTGAGGCAGGTGGCAGCACCACTGAGCTAAATACCTGGCCCGACAATGTAGATTTTTAAAGCAAGGAATATTACTCTGAAGAGGGTCATAATGATAGAAATCAACTCATTAAATAGACAACAGGAAATGTTTATTCAATTAATACAATGACTTCAAAATATGTAAGAAAAAGGTAAGACTACTTTTATATTCAAAGATGTCAAGAATTCTCTTCAAATAATTGATAGAAACAATCCAAGCACAGAACTTCAGTAAGGACACACAAAACTTACACAGTATAATTAGTCTTTGTGACCTCTGGGATTTATAGAACTTTTCACCAACAAGAGCACAACACACATTCATTTCAAGTGAATGTGCAACACTTACCAAGAAGCTCATATTTGGGCCAATAAAACAAGTCTCAATTAATGTAAATAATTCAACTCATAAGGTATACATTCTGCAGTGGAATTGGAAATCCCCAGAATATAAAGCACTCAAATATTTGGAAACTAAATAATCTACTTCTAAGGAGACTAATGTATCAAAGAAGAAATTTAGATGTAAACTGGAAAAGATTTTAAACTTAATTAAAATGAAAAAATAACACAATAAATATGGTAGGCAACTAACAGTTCTTAAAGGACAGAGGTTAGCACTATGCAGTTAGCTTAGGAAAGAAACAAAGACTTCAAATGAAGGATCTCTTCATGCTAAAAAGTAGCAAAGGAAGAGAACAGAAATTCAGCAAAAGCTGAAAATGAGAGTAAAAGTCAAATTGGGAAAAAAGAAGCAGAAAGTAGAAAAAATTAATGAAACCAAGTACTTTAATAGATAATGAAATTGGCAAGTCTCACCCAAACTGATTAGGAATAAAATAGTAATACTATACAGATATTAACAGAAACGGGCTGGGCGTGGTGGTGCATGCCTGCAATCTCAGCACTGGGAAGGCTGAGGCAGAAGGAACTTGGCAGATTTGAGACCAGGCTGAGCAATATAGTGAATTCCAACCCAACCTGATTACATAGCGAGACACTGTCTCAAAAGAAAAGAAAACAAAACAGACAAACAAACAAAAACCAGGATCAGGAATAAGAGTGGGCATCAGTATAGATTCTACATACTCCTCATAGCAAGGTAATGTTTTGAAAACATAAATAAAATACTTAAATAAAATAGGCAAGTTTGTTAAATGGCACAATCTATCAAAGCTCATTCTATTCGGGGATATAGTGCAAATTTTATAAATTTTTTAAAAATTCGTATGTTTCGAAAGGTATTTTGCACCTCAAATGTGTGTATATATGTTCATATATTCATATCTTGTAGAGCTCTCGCTCTACCATGGGGATTAAACTTGTACTTAAAAACATTTAAGGAAGAAATACCAACATTTCCATAAATTTAAAGTAAGGAATGTCTCCTAATTTACTCTATAAAGATAACATTACACAGAATACCAAAACCAAACCATCATTAAAGAAAATTAGCAGCTATCATCCCCCATGAATATAGATGCAAACATATTTTAAAAGAAAATAAAAACCAAATCAAATTCAACACTTACCAGCAATACCTAAAAAGAATAATACACCATTACCAAATAGACATTTTCTCAGAAATGCAAGATTTGTAGGGCCAGGGATTTAGTTCAGTGGTTTCACCGCCTGCCTTGGAAGCACAAGGTACAGAGTTCCATCCCCGGTACAAAAAAAAAAAAAGAAATGCAAGGTTGATGTAACACTGGAAAATCAGTCAATTTAATTTGCCACTAAAACAGTAAAGAAAAACACATACAGTATTATGGTCACCAGTATCTTAAGAAGAAGCCCCCATAAGTTTCTATCTTGTAAAATCACCTTCGTGCAGTTCCCTTCCACCCTTTACCAGAATGAGTCCATGTGACCTACAGAAGGTATCAGAAATGCTGTGTAGCAGGTCTTGGTTAAGCTACAGCAGAGACTGTGACTTGGTTCCTCTGTGAGTTGTCTCTAGATCATTTGTTTAGGAATTAATTATCCTTAGTGAAATACTAACAGAAGAGCAAATTAACGAGACACAGAACAACATGAATGAGTCAAAGTGATTATGAAGAATTAAAGAAACCAATTACCTTTGAGTGTATATTTCATTATTCCCTATTTATAAAACCCAGTGGCAGCAAATTAGTGGTTGCCTGGTGACAGACTTTATAAAGGGAATCAGGTAACTTTTGGATTCACTAGTGCAAAATGTGCACCAAAAGTTATGAAGCTACACACTACTAATATGTGCAGTTTGTTGTAGAAAAGTGACACAGGTCTGCAAGTCCTTAGATTTTCTGTAAATCCTCAAAATAAAGTCATAGGGAGGGAACACATGTTGATATATTTTTATTTATTGAGGCAAGGTCTAGCTATGTTGCCCAGGCTGTATGGAACTCCTAGGCTCAAGAGATCTTTCTGTTTTAGCCTCCTGAGTAACTGAACTACAGGGGTATCTCATCATGCCCAGCTACTGTGCACTCTCTTAGGAGGGTCAGGTTCTTTGTAGATTGCTACAGTCTCCAACTCCCTATCAGTCAGTATCCCTGTACTGATTATGATTTTGACCTGGTCCAAGGATATTTGCCTACCAAATGACAGACTTCAGATTCCAAAGGGTCATGTTCTTCTCAAGAGCTGGGAAATATGAAATACTCTCTGAAAGTAAGGAACTCAATTCAGTCTCTCCCTGGACACATTAGATTGTCACAACAAATGCCCACTGATCAGGGTGACCTTGATCACACATGATTTTGTCATATAGATGGCAAGACTGGCCCCGTAACAATCAGTATTTCTCCTTAGAAGCACTTATGCAGCAATGTATGTTGGGCTGACACTGGATGAGAGCTATTCTTTGTCATCCTATCACCTCTGAGAGACACACACAGCTTGAGGTCTTACAAAGTTTATCCCTTCACGTTCGTGGAACCCAACTGTCTCCATTCCAACCCACATAGATAGAAGAATATCATAGTTACAAGGAGTATAAAAATTAAGGCATTCATCACAACACCAGAACAAGATGAGGCAGGCTGTTTTAGATTAGGTGCTGAGGAGCCTAGACATCCTATCATGAGTGCTAGAGATCAGCAATGTCCCTGTAGAAGGGAAACGGGCAGACACAGAATCCTCTTGGCCAAAACTGAGTCATATCTATGCTTAAGCCAACTTGGATGGGGTAAAAAAGAATGAAAGTACTTGATGGGCTCGGACTCCTGATTTCCTTCAAGGAAGAGAGGCACACAGAAGCATGCCTTTCAAAGCACACCAATATGCACAAGGCAGGACTCTGCTAGTGCAAAGGTGACTTCTGTCAGAGGCAATGGCAGTTATAGAATTTTGGCAAGGGTTCTAGGTTAGAAAATACAACACAGCTCCAGGAAGCTTCCCCTACAGCTGGCACTCAAGATTTCTTCAGTGCGGGTGTTCAGATGTGTGATGCTCCATTTCTGGCTGATAGCTGTGCACAAGACTACTGAACTTTACTCTGGTGTGAGTCATTATGGTGAACAAGATGGTGTAGTTCCTACCAACTAAGGTCTTTCTGCAGTGTGAACTTTCCAGTGCCGGATGAGAGAAGCCCTTTGTCTGAAGGCTTTCCCACATTCACTGCACTTATATGGTCTTTCTCCAGTGTGAATCCTGTGGTGCTGAACAAGTACATGCTTGTGGCTAAAGGCTTTTCCACATTCGCTGCACACATATGGCTTCTCACCATTGTGAACCCTTTGGTGTGCAATAAGATCAGAGCTTTGGCTGAAGAACTTCCCACATGCAATGCACTCATAAGGTCTTGCTCCAGTGTGAACACTCCAATGTTTAATGAGTCTGTATTTGTGACCAAAATATTTCCCACATTCACTGCACTCATAAGGCTTTTCTCCAGTGTGTACACTCTCATGTTGAACAAGTGTGGATTTGTGGCTGTAGGCTTTCCCACACTCACTGCATTTATACGGCCTTGCTCCAGTGTGGACTCTCTGATGTACAATAAGGTTAGAACTATGATTAAAAACCTTTCCACAAATGCCACACTCATAAGGCATTTCACCAGTGTGGATCCTCTGGTGCTGAGCAAGTATAGGTTTGCGGCTGAAGGTTTTCCCACATTCACCACACTCATAAGGCCTTTCTCCAGTGTGGACTCTCTGGTGCTGAACAAGTGAGTCTTTGCGGCTGAATGCTTTCCCACATTCACTGCACTTGTACTGCCTTCGGCCACTGTGAGAGGCATCTTCCCTTATGCTGCTGTCATGTGGGTTCCACTCATTGTGAGGGACCTGGTGCTGGAAAATGCTCAAGCTGCTTGCTGAGTCCTTACAGCTCTCTCCTGTTGTAAAAGGCATTGGTGAGGGCTGTACAGGACAGCTGTTCTGAAGAAAAGTCTTTCCTTCCTCCTTCCTAAAGGATTTCTCTTCACCATGTTGTTTCTGGTGCTGGTGAAGGTTTGCACTGAACTGGAACTGTTTCCCACATACTACACCTGTGTATGGTATCTGCCCAGTGTGTGGTTCCTCGTGTTCAGCCAAGTGTAAAATGTCTTTCAGTACCAGGCTATACATCTTGCAGGAGTGAGCCTTCTGGGTAGAAGGGCTTCCCCTAGGACTTCTGATCTGTGACACTCCTATAGAAGTGCTCTGCTCACAAGGTATCTCCTCATCCTCCACTCCATGCCAATAACCTGAAGGCAGAGAAATGCTGGTGAAATGCAAATTGACCCTGGTGGGGAGATAGCCTTAGTACAAATGTATGTCTAACATAACTAAGATAATAGGTGACAAGAGGTCAGGACGGGGCCTAAGCTCAAGTTAAGTGAAGTCTGCTGTGTAGTAGTTGGCATCTCATGGTCGTAAAACAGAGGAGGCCTTGTGCCGGGGATTTAGCTCAGTGGTTTCGCCGCCTGCTGTGCAAGTGCAAGGACCCGAGTTTGATCCCCGGTACAAAAAAAAACAACAAAACAAAAAACAGAGGCCTTGACAGGGAGAGGACACAGATGTGGGGTACAACACAGGAAGAGGTAGGGTCGCTGGTGAGGTCTTTCATAATCAGATTTCCCTGGGTGCTGCAGACAGGTAAAAGGTGTACAGAGGGGTTACATTATTATGCTCAAGAAAATCAAACTGCTACTGGGTAACTGGTGTTTAAGGAACCTGCAGGGTATATGCGTATCTCATTATACACTGAGTACAGGCCAATGTTGGAGAGCACTACAGAGAGAGAAAGATGGAGAGGAACAGCTGAGATGTGGAGGCAGGGACACACACAACTTAAGAGGTCCAGGTCAGAGCAAAAAAGATAAGAAATGAAGTGTGGCTAATGCCCTTGACACTGAAACAGCTATGGGCATAGAGGTCATAGAATGAATACCCACCTGCACTTACCACACCCAGCTAGAGTCTCTCCAGCAATGACTGGAGTCATATGCACCCAGGCAAGTATCCAGGGCCTACTGCCCAAATCCAGGGAAGCAACTACATGGAACACAAAAGATGTATATCCTGAAGGGAAGACAGGATGGGCAAATGGCCAGCACAGAGAAGAAAACTGAGTATTATAAAATAATCTCAAAGGAGAGTCAGCCCATTGGCCCCAGCAAGTAGTGACCAAACTTGTCACTGCATTTCTTGGCATAGGTCAGCCATAGGAAATGTCAGCTAGTGGGCAGAGTCTTGGCAACACAAGTGTCATGGATGTAGCAGGAGACATCCAGTCAGGGAGGAAACAAGATGAGTATGATTCACTGGGCTGACTCTAAGACACTCGATTCCCAGATCCATCATTTGGGGCTACTCAAAAGCAGGAGGCAGCAGGGCACATTCAGGCCTATCATCCACAGCACTTCTAGGGAACTGGGAAAGGTGGTAGCACCTGTGGCTCTGATACAGGAAGGACATGGCTGCCCTGGGGAAAAGGGAAAGGCAGAGCCCAGTCCAAGACACTGGGGTAGGTGTGATGGCCTTACCCAGTGAGGCCATAAGAGCAAAGTTCTCCAGCATCACATCCTGGTACAGGAACCTCTGAGCCTCATCAAGGAGTTCCCACTCCTCCTGGGAGAAGAACACGAACACGTCCTCAAAGTTCACCTGCCCCTGCCACAGTGGGGAGAGCCGAGTCCATATGCAGCCTTTCTCCCAACAACCCCTACCCATGCCCCCACTTATTTCCCTTTTGCCTAACTTCTCAACTCAGAGGAAATACCAGAGCCAGGTGACACTGATGTCTGCTCTTCCCTCATAGTCCTACTAATGTACTGTATGTCCACCCATAGTAACAACAGACAGATGGGCAGAAGAGGACCCTGGGCACTGCCCTACCTTCTGCCAGGTAATTCCTCTGGGGTTGCTAAGGTCATTTTAACCAGCCAACCAAACCTGGGCTCACCTTGCTCCCTGAGGCCTGGTACAAAGGCCCAGGGCCTATCAGTCTATACTCCTGTCCATGTGTATATCATTCTTCGGATCATAACTGTCCCACAACTCCATCCCTCCACTCAGGTGGTAGTTTCCATCCTCACCTTTCTAGCTTACTAACTGTACTACCATTGTGATGTAATTCTCCATCTTAAACCCCAGGCTTTACATCGTCTTCTACCTTTTGTTTCCACCATGAACCCTTGTATATAACTCCAGTCCTGTGTGTCCACCAGTCTACTTGATAACTCCACTCAGTGTTCTCTGGAACCTCAGATTCTTCACATAGCCATAAATAAAGTCCTGATATCCACAGTTAAAGATACTTCTAACACTGACCTGCCTATCTCAGATATGGAGCACCTATCCTTCTCACTGATAAGTCTAAAACCTCAGTGTATCATTTTTCTGTCTCACATTAGAAAACTCAATCCAATCACTTCTATCTACAAGCCATCCCTCTGGCCCATCTGTTATCACCATTCACCTGGAATAAAGTAGTAGCCTTTCTCTCTGGTCTCCTGGCCTGCACCACATCTCAATAAACTTTTATCAAACCCAGTCAGCTCTCCGCTTGGCATCCAGAAGGAGGCTGTTAAGACCTGGGTCAGATTAGCCTCCTCTTCTGCTCCACACTTCCCATTACCCTTGGAATGGAGGTCCTGCTCCTCTGCCAGCCATTTCAGGTCTGACTTTTGCTTCTCTGCCCTTGGTTCCTAACAGACATAGCAGAGACCTGCAGCTTCCTCAAGGTTTTTTTTTGGGGGGGGGTGTCTTGCTATATAGTTCTGGGTGGCCTTGAACTCACTACACATCCCAAGCTAGCCTTGAACTTGCAGCAATCCTGTCTCCACCTCCCCAAGTGTTGGGATTATAGGTGTGTATGTGTGTGCTACCATGGCTGCGTGACCCAAAGTTTCTTTATAACTTCCATCTCAATCTCACCTCAAGTATTTGCTCATGTTGCCTCATGTACCTAGAACAACTTTTCAACCTTATTCCAATGTTTGGCAGAAATGGGAGCTTCTCCATATCACCCCTAGCCTGGACTCAGGAACCTGAGCTGAGGATTTCTCTAGGGCATTCAGATTCAAGAAAAGAAAAGAAAAAAAGCATCAGGAAAGTGTTCTGTATAATATCACAGTCCTGGAGACCACCTAGGTGAAACTGGGCTCGGTGAGACCATGGACATCCTTCCCTCACCTGTTTAGGTACCATAACTACTTCTGAGTTCACCGGAACCTGTGGAGAGACAGAGACTGTGAGAAGCAAGAAACCATGAAGAAACCCCAAGGGCTCTAGCGTATCCCCGACTCCCACTCTGCTACAAAGTGACCCGGAGCTCACTGCCTACCTCCTGTACCTGTGTTCTGCGTCGCCTCTGAACTAACATGTTACCTTGGCCTAGTGCTCAATCCTAGGGTGCCTCACCATTCTCATCTTTTCCACACCCAGACTATTCTTCCTAAACACCCCAAAGTACTCTCTAAATCCTCAGATTACATCTCTCCCCGGTCCGTTAGCTTCCATGGGTCCAACTGCCCTCCAAGCAGAACTCCAACTGCCCAGGTCCCCGAATACTCAAGTGTGCCGCACCTGGCGCTTTTGCACATGCGGACCCGGTTCCTGTGATGTCCTTCCGCCACCTACATAAATGGCTGTCAGAAAAGGACTCAACCACAAGAGCCTCCACTGCGCCAGACCTAGGTGTCCGGACTAGGACCCAGGGACGGACCCACCTGCGCGGTGTCCATTACTGCGGCCATCGCCATCAGTTCTGAGGACCAAGAAGGGAGAGCGACAGGTGCGGGGACCGGGGTTCCAGTCCCACAGCCCAGCCCAGCCCAGCCCAGCCCAAGACCAGGTCGCACGGTCGGTGCCACTGTGGAGTCTCAGGCCCGCCTCTGGACGACAACGCCTCCTCTCGCGTTTTCCGTTTTTGTTTTCCCCTTTTCGTCACTAGAGTTCTGGCGCTGCGTTCCGGTGACTCACCTATTAACGCCAAAGGAAACAACATGTCCCCGGGAGGCGGTAACAGGAAATCCCGCCCTATCGTCGTCCCCGGCAACGGAAACACCCTTTTCTTGGGGTCTGATGAGTTTAGAGCCGCGGGGACTCCAGGGTAATGTAGTTTTTATGGCACCAAAGATGGAGCTTGGCCACCTGGTGGACCTTCAAAATGTGGTCTCAGCCACTCCACGGGAAATTGGCGTTTAGGTGGAACTTCGTTATATCTAAAAGGACCTGCGAGTATGAATGTAGCCTATTACTTATCGCAGAAATACTCAGAGACATTAGTTTAGGCGAATGCAGGGAATGCTGACGGGGAGTGGGGAGGGCGACAACAGACTTTTGTAGCTGGAAGCTATTATAAGTATTATGGTACTTTGAATACACTGAGCTTAAAATTCTAGAGTTAAGTTTTCAAAGCCTCAGCATTTTGGGTCAGGCACAAGACAGAAAAGATTCCATGACAATAACACGGATTAGGGATGTTCGGTGGCCCTGAAGCTGATGGATAATTCTTGTGATTCTGGTTACCTCGGAAAATATTTCCCCTGCCTGTCAGTGATTGTGCCAAACCCTGAGAGTAACACACTTTTTCAAGATATTTTATACTGTATACTCCATATACAGAGATATAACCAATAACTTTCAGTATTTTACAAATATCTGAAAAGATGGGTGATTTACCAAATATCATCTGGCAATGAAAAGAACAACATGAAGAGTTTCTGCACAGAAGAAATAACCATCGACTAAATTGCTATACACAGCAAAACAGTCTCTTACGAAAGTATGATAGGAGACTATATGAGGCCAAAAAAGATAAATGTAATGGAAATACACTTATACATATTATAAATTTCTTTTCTTCTTTTTGGTACCAGGGATCGAACTCTGGTCCTTGTGCTTGCGAAGCAGGCAGTGGAACCACTGATCTAAATCCCCGGCCCTAATATAAATTTCTTAATGTAATACTACATGATAAAGAATGTTGATCCAGGAAAGTCTTCAATGACAGAAGAAAAGGTGATGGAAAGTAAGGTTTGTCTTTTGATTAATATAGCTACTTATTGTGATATGAAACATAAATATACCTCCTTATTTTTTTCTTTTTTATACCTTATTTTGTAAAATCAATGAATTCCTATTTATAAGTGCAGTAACGAATAACTCGAAAGGAAGCGAATTGCTCAGTGTTTTAAGTCTTTTATATTTCAAAGTAGAAAGTAAATATGTTCACAACCTATACCCTAGTTGTTCTTTATAATTTTAGCTTAAATATAATAAATACACTTAATCAGAATTCGGCACCACAGCATGTTCTGTCCAGAATACAGTTTAACTCAAAATGAGTCATATACCATGAGAAAATTTTTCAGAAAGTACAACTTCTAAAAAAAGAAAGAGGAGGATCTTTGTGATAACATTAAACAGACATGTCTAGATACAACATCAAAAGTAAGATTAACAGAAAAATTGACACACTGAACTTTCTGTAAATTGAGATCTTATGGTTGTCATAATGCAAGGGAAGCCAAATACTGGGTAAAAGTATTTTCAAGTCACATATCCTTGGTGAAGACTTGTGCAAAAAATATATTTTAGTAAATCTGAAAATTCAAGACTATGGCAATAAACAATTCAATAAAAATAAGTAAAAGATTTGAACTGATAACAGAGCAATTAAACCAGTTACAAAGAAACGTGTAGATTTGTTCAACATCATTAGTCCTTGGGAAAAATGCAAATTAAATTATGATGAGCTACCACTACATGGCAGTAGTTTGGCTAAAATTAAAAATACTGACCATACTAAGTATCAGTGATGTTAGGCAGAAAGTTAGTCATTAGCAGGTGTGGAGACATGTAGCTGGTGGCTACTTGAAAATCAAAGAAGACATGATTTTTCCCCTTTCTTAATCATTAGCTATAGGTAACATCCATACAGGTTTGCAATTTCAAACTTTAGCTCAAGGAGATATAACCTCCTTTGAGCCTGTTGATAAGTTCCAGGGCTCATACAATCCAGACTGCAGGTGAGGGGTTGGGAAACATCAAGGTCTCAAAATAAACTAAAGGAAAAATATCCACCTAGGGAGTAAATAGGGACCCATTAGTCAACAAGCCCACCCTCCTTCTAAAAGAACAATGACCCCCAAGGAAGAAAACAGTATTCTTTGAAAGATCCAGTTAATAATATAAATGTAACCAGAGACCTCATTCAGTGCAATTACCAGCTTGGTGTTTTCCCACCTTCACACTTGAGGGTGTTTCTTTTCTCTCTCTCTCTCTCTCTCTCCCTCTCTCTCTCTCTCTCTCTCTGACATTTACCACACAAACCATAAATCTACTCAATGAACTGTCAACTTTACACAAGTTGTAAAGAAACCTGTGTTAAAAAAAATCTTAAAGCAAAGATATAGTGGTTCTATTAACCAACGCTTTCTGGCAAAAAGTCCTTAGTAGATGAATGATTTAAAAACTATGGTGAAATATACAATGGAATACTACTTCTCAGTATAAATAATGAAGTGTTAATAGAGACAATAAGGGTGAATCACAAGTGGATCATTCTAAGTGAATGAGGTCAGCCTGAAAAGGTTGCAAGCTGGTGAATTCCACTTACATGACTGGAACGGTGTGTTTCGAAAACTCCAAGGACAGAAATCACATTCATGGTTTCCAAGGATCAGGAGGACAAAGAAGAAACATGAGGCAGGAGAGAAGAAAACTGGTCACTGAGCACTAAGTACACAATCACGTCCAGTTCCTCACATCGACTCCTTTCCCCATTCACTGTCTTCTTTTCTCCTCCTTCCTGTTACACCAAATCAATCACCAGCCTTTTTTCTTATCTTATCTCTGGCACTTGCTCTAAATACTACTTGAATATTTTAAACACAGGTTTCCTACAGCTGCTTCCTTCTCATTTTCTCATCTCAATTCCATTATCACTCTGTGAAAGTCACCCACATCTCCTAGCCCTGAGTTTAAACATCAAGCTCCTTCAATTCAACTGCCATTCCTTCACACTTTTTCCCTTTCTAGCCCTCATTATTTTCACTGCCAATTGGCTTAGCCAATTATACTAAATTAGACCAATGTTTTCTAGGTGTGGCCTTAGAGGAGGTGGCACATGTAAAGAAAATAGCTTTTTTCAGCATTTTCAGTCCTTTTCTGTTCTATCAGTCTTCATCAGAGCAAGGAAACTGAGGTGAGACTCAAAGCTGGAGTTTCAATGAGAGCAAAAAGAGGGTTGTAGTCATCAGGAATAGTTGCATCTGTGGGTGATCTTTGGATTCTTGGTTTTAGTTGGTTCTACTGGAGCTTCAGAATAGTCCATGGTCACCAAGACACCATTTACAGGGGATGTTGTCTTTGAGTATAAGACTTGGGCAATACCAGGAGATAGGAATGCTTACCTGTTGGGGAATAAAACTGGCTCTCTAAAGTATCAGGCTCCCCACACCCCAAGGACACAATTCTGTTCCTTTGTGGTGGCATTAATTTTCTCCTAGGGATAGTTTTGATGGAAAGTTAGCCCAAGAGTTAGGCAGGTAGTTAGACCTTAATCAGACCTTATGGACAAAGGGAATCAAAACAACATGCTTTGCCAATTATAGTTTGTCTTAGTTACTTTCCTCATTGCTGAGACAAAAAATACCTGATGCCCAGAGTTAGGGAGGAAGGGTTTATTTGGCTCACAGTGTGTAGAGGTTTCAGTCCCTAATCAGCTGTCTCCAAGGCAGGGTGGCTCGGCAGAGGGGCACTGCAAAGCAGAGCCAGTTCATGGCAAGCAGAAGACAGCAAAAGCAAGCAAGCAAGGGACTTTAACAGCATCTTTCAGCCTCTTTTATCTTATCCAGGTTACTTAGGGTAGGTAGCACTCACACCCTTAATCCTAGTGCTTTTGAACCTAGCATTGCACTGTGAATCAATCACATACTCCAGATTCAGCCACCTCTGAAAAAGCACCACCTATGACTGCATGATGCTTTGCGGAGACATCTAAAGACAAGACAAGCCATAATATAGTTAAACAAAGAACCAAAGACCTCAGTGTATAATTTATTTATTTATTTGGTACCAGGGCTTGAACTCGGGTCCTTTTGCCCACACAGCAGTCAATGAAACCACTGAGCTAAATCCCTGGCCCTCAGTGTATAACTTATAATTAGTGTATCGTTTATAATTATCTGTGAGTCTTAGATAAAACAATAACACTACATAGCACAATGAGATGTATGATCAGACCATGTGCACAGCTTCACTGTATGCCCATGCAGAACTTTAGGATCATTTATTCTTGACACTAGGAACCCAGACTTTTAGTATTCCAGGCATTTAATATTCACAATAACAAAAATGTGAACAATATTAATATCCATTAATATTTGTTTTGTATAGTTGGGGACATTCATATTTGGTGCATATATATTTAGGATTGTCATCTCTTGCTCTTGGATTGTTCCCTTCACAAAGATGTAGTGACCATCTTTGTCTCTCTTAATTAGTTTTGGTTTGAAATCCACTTTGTGTGCAAATAAGATTGCTACCCCTGATTTTTTCTGGGTTCCTGTGTGTGAAGAACTGTTTTCTGTCCTTTTACTTTCAGTCTATGAATTTCTTTTTGAGTTAGGTGTGTTTCTTGTATACAGTATATTGTTGATTTTGCTTTTTAATCCATTCTGCCAGTCTATTTCTTTTGATTGGTGAATTGAGGCCATTAACATTGATGGTTATAATTGATATTGACTCATCCTTGTCATGATATTTTACTGTTGTTGGCTCTTTTATTTTTTATTTTTCTCCCTTTCCCTTTAGTTTCTTGCCTTGCTTGATGGCTTCCCTCTGTTGGGCCTCATGGAATTGAGCCCTTCATTGTCTTTTTCTAGGATATTGTTTAGAATTCTGTGGAGTGCTGGTTTGGTGTTCTTGACATTTCTCAAGTGTTCTTTCTTGTGGAAGTTTCTAATTTC